AATACTTAAGTCCCTCTTCCTTTGCCCTCCGGCTTGGGAAGTCTAACCCCTGTAAGGAATTTGGAATAAGGGGGGAAAAACTATTGGATATTTCCAGTAGAAAGCTATGCATTTTTTGGGGGTAGAACACATCTTTAGCCTTTTGTGGCCTGGGAGCTATTTAATGACTAACTCTGCATTGTAGATGACAGATAGTGACGCAAAATAACCCAGGTCTATGATCATGCAAATAAATTGCCCAGTGGATGTCAAATTGAAGTGGAAGTAGGTGATTTTTTACATTTATATGTAAATTAATTTCAACTTTCCTTTGCTTCTCATAAATGTGTTTGACTCCTCTGAAGACATGGTAAGTCTGCCAGGTCCCCTCATCAATAATGACTTAAATACAATCTTTAATGCATTTATTCATTTATCTATATGAGGGTCTGATTTTTCTTCTTTCTTTTTTTTTTTTTTTTTTGAAATTATCCTTCGCCACCACACCACTTAGTAAGGGGAGGAGCCAGCAGGGCAGATGCCAGCCTGGCAGAAGAGCCCAAGAAGAGAAACAGGAAGAGGAAAAGGAAGCGCCTCTGGAGATAAAAGGCAGGTCTTGGGCCTGGGGCCAGGTTCCCAGGGAAGAAGGCCAAGCGGTACTGGGACTGAGGCTGGGCCACAGGCAGCAGGGTGGGGGCAGGCGGTCTGTCTAGTTCCATGGGGCCATCTATTTGACCTTGTTCCTGACAACCTGATTATTCTGGTCCTGTCAACCTGCTTGGAAGATGTGGGTGACATCCCAGATGTCTGGATGATGACAAGATGGGCAAGGCTGTAACCAAGACTCCTTCCAAACCTGGGGGAGCCTGGGCTGGGATCTGAGCCTGCCTCTCCAGCCCCTCTTTCCTGCATACCCATCACCCCATGACCCAAGTCACCTCTTCACCTCTGGGGCTTGATCAGGCCATTCCCTCCACTGGGAACACTCTCGCTCTTAAGACACAGCAAGTGGGGAAATGAGAGTCAGTGCATAGCCGGGGACAATCATGGCAATCGTGGCAGGCATGGGAGAGAGCCAGGACTAAAACCTCAAGTGCCATATGGAAAATTCAGAATCAGGCAGAGGCTGTGTAGGGTCCCAGCCCCCGCCTCTTTCCCCCTTGGCATTCCAGTTCCATCCTGGTCTGGTGGCCTGAGCTCATCATCAAGAAACCTTTTTTTTTTTGGGGGGGGGGGACAAGGGACTAAACTCAGGGGCACTCAACCGCTGAGCCACACCACCAGCCCTATTTGGTATTTTATTTAGAGACAGGGTCTCACTGAGTTGCTAAGTGCCTCTGATTGCTATTGCTGAGGCTGGCTTTGAACTCATGATCCTCCTGTGTCATCCTCCTAAGCTACAGGTGGGCACCACTGCACCTGGCACAGAACCCTGTCTGATGGATGAGCTAACAGATGGGAATTAGGTCTGGGTCTGGCAGGAACTTGCCCGTGGTTGCATGGTAGTGGAAGGTACCATGCCACCCCTCCTCCATAGGAGCTTGGGCCGGGAGCCAGGAAGACGGCGGCAGGAAGGGGAAGCCCAGCCTGGCACCCCATCCGGGCAGCCAGTGGGACATAGGCAAAATTGAGTGTGTGTCTAGGCAAATGTCTACCTGGCTCAGCTCAAGATGACCTGCCTGTCTGCCCCATCCCCCTAGGTCCCACTGTACTCACTGTCACCCCACTCTCAGGACCCTTTGAGGACCCCGGTGACAGTATGGAATGGTCTTCAGGCATGTTTCTGTCCCTCTTCCCTTATCATGGCTCAAGTGGCTTCTGCCTTTACCATTCTGTCTGCAGACCCCAGTGCCACGTCTCCAGCTGAGGTCTGGGTCTACTGAGTCCTGCCCCCAATTCTGGCTCCAGCCTGGCCTGGAGGGCACTGGCAGGGGGGGGGGGGGAACAAGGTCCTAGTGTCCTAGGGCGTGGACATCCTTTGCTCTTGGACCCAAGCCATTCGTAACCAGATCTTCCTGGGTGTGGGGGTGCCTGGGAAGGGGGTGGCCCCTTGCCAGGCCCAGGAGGGGTGGGGTAAAGGGTGCTCATACTCACCTCACTCCTCCTCAGTGGGACATCAGTGTCTGTGGGGACAAAGCTTCTTGGCAGCTCCAGGGCCTCCAGGTAAGACCTGGGGGCACAGGTAAGGGAGGCAGAATAGGGGTTCGGGAGTGAGTTGGCTGGCCTGGGAGACAGGTCAGTGGCATAGGTGGGTAGAGTGGACTCTGGAAGAATGGGGGCCATGAAATTAGGACTGGAGATAAAGGGTGCCAAAGCCTCTCCTTGCTCTTGGAGGGTGTCCCTCCCTACTGTACCTGGCTAGGCCCAGGCCTTATCCCTCACCCAGGAGTGGGAAGGGGATGGAGGCAGAAGCCACGGGTGCTGCAGACAGCAGACGGGCAGTTAAGCAGTGGGAGGTATGCTGGTCAGGGGGATTGGATGATCCTGGGATCCCTGGGGCCGGGGAGGGGCTATGGAGGGTGTTTCTCCATCCCCTCTCCTTAGAAAATATCCCCAACTGGAAAGGGGAGCAGACTGGGGAAGGGGTATGTTCAAGCAGAAGAAACTGGATAGGGTTCAGAGGTAGAAGAGGGACAGGAGATCAGCTGGGGTGCTCTCTGGGTCTGAATCCTACTGCAGAGTTCCCTCTCTCTGGGTTCCAGCAATTAACTCCCCAGAAGAGGAGGCTCTGATACTCCAGAGCAGGTACTGTCCGTCTTGGTAGGGTGACACAGAAGCTAGGCTCCTTGGTAGGAGAGGCATCCAAAACTTCCCATGGACTCATGCGTGTAACTCCTGTGACTCAGGAGGTTGAAGCAGGAAGATCACAAGCGCAAGGCCAGCCTCAACTTAGTGAGACCTTGTCTCAAAATAAAAAAAGAAGTGGGGATGTAGCTCAGTGGTAGAGTGTCCACAGATTCAATCCCTAGTACGTTTAAGGAAGAAAGAAAGAAAGAAAGAAAGAGGGGAGATAGATAGAAAGAAAGAGAGAAAGAAAGAAAGAAAGAAAGAAAGAAAGAAAGAAAGAAAGAAAGAAAGAAAGAAAGAAAGAAAGAAAGAAAGAAAGCAAGCTAGCTTGTTTCTACTGGCCCCTAGCAAGGGGTGTGCAGTATGAAGCTTCTCCAGCCCCCTCCTGTGACTGGAGCAGGGCAGGGGAGGGGCAGGGGGGTGAAATGAAAGCAGGAATGATTGGGAACCGCTGTTGGCTGCAGAAAAGACAAGAGGGTCTGGGAAGGACCCTCTACCCAAAGCCCCAAATCCTCCACACACCCCACACCCAGTGCAGGCCTGTGATCAGGATTCTGTGTGGGACCATTGCAGGGGGACAATTCTCTTCTTGGTTCTTTAGACTCACCACTCAGTCTGATGAAGTGGGAGCAGGGACCAAACTGGGACAGGAGCTGGGTTGGGGACGGGGTGTGGCCGTAAATATCAACCTATCATCCTTATGCTCCATCCTCCTGCACTCAGAGCTCCCCATACGACCATCTGAATCATAACCTCGCTATCCTCACAACCCTCCTGTGACTCTGCTGTCACGGCAGCCACGTCCCACACTACATTCCCACCCTCACCATCACCAGCCTCACCTGAGGCTAACAGACTTGAGACTTTTCCTCAATGTGTTTTCTGGCCCATACATCCTCAGGCGGTGGGCCAGACAACAGCGTCCCCTTTCAAGAGTCTGCGGCCCAACAGCACAAGACCTGAGGGCATTTTCGAGTCTGTGGCAGACTCTGGAGCCTTGGGAGCCTGCAGGTGCCTTCAGCATGGGCGAGCAGTGTCTTCCAGCTGCTGTGACTCTCCTGGCTGGTAAGGGGGTAGGGACAAGGCAGGCTAGACTATAAGGCCCTTGTCCCTACCCACTCACTTGGGGGGGTGGCAGGGGTGAGCCCCGCTAGCTCCCACATCAGGGCTGACCTTCCTTGTTCTTGTATGAGTCTACCTCGGCCAGCCAAGAGGATGCCAGGGAAGGGCCAGAGCCCAAGTCCCTAGTTCCCAGGCTTGGGGCTTCCTGAGAGCACTAGGGTTACCACCTGAAGGAACCTGGTGCAGGGTAGGCCAGCATGGGGCTCAGTGCACACTTGAAGATAGGTGAGGGATTAATCCCCAGAGTTCAGAGGTGACCCCACATATGCACCCCTCCTGTCCAGTCCCCAAGAACCATTCTGAGTGCTGGGAATGTGGTCAGGCCTGAGCCTCGGCCATGATGAAATGGGCAGCACTTCCAGCACCCTTGGGGTGGGCCCCAGGAGTCATTTAAACAGATCAGCCCAGAGCCCCAGGCCTCAGATCCCAGGGAGCACTTGGGGCCCAGGGACCTTCCCTTAGGGAGGGACCCTGCTATGGGGTGAAGTTGGGATGGGACGCAGAGAGAGGGACCCTTAGGGTGAGTCCCTTAACCTCTAGAGTCCTTTCTGGGGGGCAGCAGGGCTGGCTGTCTGGTGGGAGGTTATTTTCCTGGGGTAGCTTAGTGGTTGGGGGCAAAGGTTAGCCAGGGTTTGGATCTCCCAGGCTCCTGAGGGAAGGGGAGGTCCCAGGGGCTGTGGGCCAGCCCTGCCCCTACAGTGTCCCAACAGGGCCTCTCCTGTTTTGCAGCTTTCATGGTGGTCTCGGCTTCTGTCCTGCCCCTTCCTTCTGCTCACAAAGACTCTGGCCAGTCACCGTTGGCCCCTGGTGCATCTCCTCTGCAAGTCAGCAAGAGGGCACTTCTGGCACTAGGCGTCCTGACAAAGACCTCTGATAACGTGGTTTCCCTCCTTGGTGGGGAATTGGAAGCACCTGGGAAAAGGGCAGAAGCCCTCTCTCAGGGGAAAGCTAGGGGCCACCAGGCTCCTGGAAACTTGTCCTTGGATTCCTCCTCACACCAGCTGACCCCCTTGGGAAAAACTGAGGTCTCAGGCAAGGCCACACCTGGCCCAGCATCATCATCACTGACTGAGTCCCAGTCAGAATCCTTAGTGACTGAACCTGCAGACACCATGTTGGCCCCTGGAACTCGTAAGATTGCTGCCATGTTACAGTCGCAGGCTTCTCCTGTCCGTGGGACTGGGAAGAACTTCAAGATCCCTGGATGGTCTGTGACAGTCCAGGCTCCTGCCTCTGCAACCCTGGGGGCATCTGCCACCCCTAGACCAACTCAGGTGCCAGCCAGAGCACCCCTGGTCCCCACCACTCCTACACCCCCACGACCACCAGCCTGGCTCTCGGTGAGGCACACCCCCATTCCCAGTGTCCAGATGCCATCTGTCTCAACAGCAGGTTTCTTCAGGCCAGAAGCCTCCCCCTCTCTGACACTGGCACCAAGGGGCCCAGGGAAGGCGGTGTCCTTGGTGTCCTTGGTGTCCCCAGGCCGACTTGAGTCTGCTGCGTCAATGGCTAACACACAGCCAGACACAGAGTCCCTTGCCCCTGCAGTTCCAGGGTTGTCAGGGCTGGACACATCTCCCCTGCCCTTGTAGCAGGCTCAAGACCACCCCAAGCTGCTGTGGCTTCTGGCCTGGGGCCCAGTGGTCCCCTGGGGCCATTGCCCTCAGTATTGCCATTCTTCTCCCCACAGCCCTCAGCAGCACTGCCCCTGTCTCCCTCCCCATCAGCCATATCTTTGTCACTGTCACCTTCCCTGTCACCACCACCACCACCACCATCCCTGGTCCTGGCCCCGGTTTCCTCCCTCACCACCAGAGCCAGAAGTCCTCCTCCGCGCTTGGAGTCTGCGCCAGTGCCTTCGACCCCAGATTCTCCCCTCACACCTGCCCTGCTACCCGCGACAGTTCCACAGCCAGCCACGCCTCAAGGGACAGTTCGGCCTGGGTGGAGAGTTTCTGCCAGCCCAGCCCCCAGGACCACCCTCTCCGTCCCATCTTCCTCCAGTCTTCCCTCCGCTGCCCCTAGCGCTGGCTCCCCCAGGGTCCCTGCAGGTGCTGACCCCACCCAGCCTTACGACTTGCCTCACCCTGGCCAGGCTGTCTCTTTGCAGGACTCAACATCCTCGGCCCCAGAACCCAGTTACCTAACCCACTACGTGACCTTCAAGATCTCCAGTGAAGTCCTCTCGGCTTCACAGTGGAACCCTGTGGCCCTGGAGCATCAGCTGCTGAATGAGCACGTCCGCCACGAGGTGAGGCCACTGCGGTGTGCCGCGCGGAGGGGCGCGGAGGGGCGCGGAGCTGTGACCAGAGCACAAGCTCCCTGGGGGCAGCTGGGCGCAGAGCTGAGCTGGGAATGCCCCGTAAATCAATGAGCACCACCCCTGTGCTTCTTGGGGTGCAGGAGAGACATGTGGAGTAAGCGGTGGGCAGGAAGGGGGAGCCCAGGCAGAAATACCTCTGGGGAGTAGATGCAGGGAGAAAACATCCTCAGTGCAGAGACCCTGCCAGGGAAATCAGAGGAGGCTTTGTTGTTGTTGTTGTTGTTGTTGTTTGGGTATGGGGATTTGCTGAGAGGCACTCACCCACTGAGCTGCATCCTCAGCCTTATTTTATATTTTATTTAGAGACAGGGTCTCACTGAGTTGCTTAGCGCCTTGCTTTTCTGAGGCTGGCTTTGAACTCACGATCCTCCTGTCTCAGCCTCCCAGCCGCTGGGATTACAAGCGTGCACTACCGCACTCTGCTGGCTGACTTTTTAAAATTTTAAATATATAATGTTATTGTATTTATTTCATACTTTTATTTTATTTATTTATTTGTATGTGGTGCTAAGGATAGAACCCAATGCCTCACACATGCTAGGCAAGTGCTCTACCACTGAGCTAGAAATGCAGGTCTGGCTGACTTTTTTCTTAGCCCAAAGCCTTATCAGAGACCTGTGGGTCCTCATGCCCTGGCAAAGAAGGCACAGTTTCCGGACCCCAAACCAAATCCACCTGCCAGATTCTGGAACCACAGGCGTGAAGGTGCCTTGGTAGAGAGTGCCAATTCTTGCCTGTCATCCAGGAGGAACCCTGAGTGTCCACTAGTTCACTGGTTCATGCCTCCATTCAACTAATTCATCTCTTCATATAACTCCTTGGGTGCTTACTATACTGAGTGCACCGTGGTCCTACCCTCAGGGAGCCTCCAGTCTGCAGGGGGAAAGAGACAGAAGGAATGCTTAAACAAATGTGAACGTGCTTACAATCACGATAAGTTAAGTGAAGAACAGACAGTCTAAGCAGATGGCCAGGGTCAGAGGGTTGCCCAGAGAAAACTTTCTGAGAGGGAGAAATTTTTTGAGAGTAGGGGCTAAGCCAGGGATTGAACCCAGCAGTCTTAACCCTTGAGTCACATCCCTCTCCCTTTTTAAATAATTTTTATTTAGATACAGTCTTGATGAGTTGCTTAGCGCCTCACTGAGTTGCATAGGGCATCGCTAAGTTGTTGAGGCTGGCTTTGAACTTGTGATCCCCTGGCCTCAGCCTCCTGAGCCACTGGGTTTACAGGTGTGCACCACTGCACCGGGCTTCAGAGAGGAAAATTTTAAGTGGGGTAGAGATAAGGTAGTCAGATGAAACAGGGAGGGGCCTTGAAGGCAGAGGGAACAGTATATGTGAGGACCTCCAGATGGACAGGTGGTCAGAGATGGCACAGGGGCTCCATGGAGAGTGACTTGGGGCAGGACTAGGTGACAGCTTTGCAGTGCAGAGCCCAGGATGATTGGATTGGAGGGGGATTTTTCAAGAAAACCAATAGCAGAGAGGGAAGAGCCCAGGGAGGCATTTGCAGCTCCCTGGACAGGTTTTAGAGGTGATGGGCAGGTCTCCGGCCACAGCGTAGGGAACAGCTTGGGCAGGGCCCAGCAGGGCAGGGGGTCAGTGAGGAGGCCCCTGCAGAGGCCAGGTCAGGGACGGTGGTGGTGGAGGGGAGGCTTGCCAGCCTCCACGGCTCTGTCTGTCCACAGCTGCAGTTCATCTACCGCAGGGCCTTCCCCAACTTCCAGGGCACCCGTATCCTGGAGTTCAGGTGAGTGCATGTGGCTCTCAGCCCCCCACCCAGCCGATCTGTGCCTTCCAGCCACAGGGCACTATTCCAGGCTACTCAGTCCCCCATCGCCCACCTGTGGTTCTGCCCCTGGTTGTGCTGTGTGACCTCAGATGGCCACCTGTCCACTGGGAGCCTGATTCCAGCTGCAGGGTTTGGACAGGAATGCTGGACATTGTCTGGGCACAGTGGGAAGGCAGGGCAGCAAGAACAAGTCCCTTATTCCCAGGGCAGAGTGTGCGAAGAGATGCCACTCCCCCAGGTGCTTTCTGATTCTGAGCATCCAGGGAAAGAGGACGCTGGGGTGATCGTGGGCGATTCAGCTGTGAACCAGTTGTGATTTCATGAGCGAGGCTGAGGAGGTCCAAGTCGCCACAGCCCCTACAGGAAGGAATTTAGAAGCTTGAATACTCTCAGTGATGGGGAGCTCACTGTCTAACCAGGCCAACGTCCCAGCTGGTTAGAAAGCTTTCCCACTGAATGAACTGGAGTCCCCTTTCACTCCCCTGCCCTGGGCCTGAGCAGAACTTTTATCTCCCGACCCTTGAGATGGCACAGGTAATCAAGGGAAGGAAAAAAGTCATTCTGGATCTTGAGCCTACTTGTTTCCAGGCCTTTCTCTAACAGCTTCTTCAGACCCCTGCTGAGGCCAGCTGTCCCCATAGAACATGACCAGCTGGTTTATCCCACAGGCTTTCAGAAATTCCTCAGAGGTGCTGGGAAAGGGGGCACACGCCTGTAATCCCAGTGACTCCTGAGGCTGAGGCAGGAGGATTGCAAGTTTGAGGTTGGCCTGGGAAACTTAGTGAGACCCTGTTTCAAAATTTAATAAAGGACTAGAGGATAGAGCTTGGTGATCACGTGACCACCCTGGGTTCAATACCACCTTCCTGTCTCCAGAACTCCTGCTCCTTATGATGAAGCCAAAGATAGTTTCCTCAGTGTCATTCAGACTAGCATCCTGAGAGCTCAAAGCCAGCTGCAGCCTGGCCGGGTAACCCTGCGCAGCCCGGGGCAGGATTCACAGTGCTCTCATGAAAGCCACTTTGCTGTGGTGTCCAGGTGAACTTGCTTTCACTGAGCACTTGCTTTGTGCTCTCCTGATGGGGTCATTGAGGCTTCACCACAGTCATCCGGAAAAGGGCTCATCATCCCCATTTGACTAAGGAGGACACTGAGGCCCAGAGGGGTGACAGAACCTGCTTCAAGTCATACAAGAAGACTTCTCTGTGCCATCAATGGCTTCCTCTATAGACATCCCTCCCTCGGGACACTGGTCCCCGTCACCTCCTGGGGCCCCAGTGAAGACCTGGCTCTGTCCACAGGCCTGGCTCTGGAGCTGTAAAGGCCTCCCTTGTGTTCGGGGGCTGGGCTGTGGGCCCCTCTGCCCGGGAAGTCCTCTGGATTTTGTACCGCCAAGTGAAGGCCTCCAGGGGCATGCTGGGGCACCTGTTCCTGGATGAGAGCAGCCTCGCTGCTTCCGGTGAGTCCTGCCTGTCCCCAGGCCTCTGTGCCAGGCCCACAGGGAGTGCCAGGAGGTGGTGGGAGAGGAGGCTCGCGGGGCCTCCCAGCTCCCCCTGTGGCTTGCAGGGTCCCCCCTCACCGACTTAGCTCTGGAGACCATCTGCATCAGTTTCACGGCCATGAGGCCCTTCCTGCCCGAGCTCGTCCTGCCTGGTTCTGCTCCCTTTGTCCTGCTGGAAGACCAGATCCTCCACCTGGTGAGGTGGCTCTCCCCCTGTGTCGGGGGGCTGGTGCGCTTACCCTGCCTTCCTYGAAAACAGAGGCAGCACCCAGCGTGGCCCTGGGGGGAGGGTGGGCAGGGTCGGGTGGGGTCGTGAGGACACAGCTCTTCAGGGGAACATGTGACCAGGCTCTGTGACCAGATACCCCAGCCCAGGAGGCCTTGTGCAAGGAGGCTCTCAGATCCTGCCCCACCCCTCCTGGGTCTCAGGAGAGACAGCTAGCTCCTGGCCAGCTCTGGAGACCATCCGGACACTGACCTCCAGGACTCCCTGCAGGTCACCCCTGTGGTGTCGAGATTCTACAAGGAGCATCCCCAGGAAGGCCCCCTGCTCCTTTTCAGGTGGGTCAGGTCCCGTTCCCGCCCACCCAGCCTGCTCTGCCCCTCTCTTGGGGGCTTCTCTCTGGAGTAGCAGGGGCAGCTCCATCCCTGACCCAGAGCTAGGACATGGAAGCATTGAGTTGGGGGCCACCCAGGGGAGGACTCTGTCCTGGTAGCTCCCTCTAGCCTCACGGAGCTCTGCCCTTGGAGGTAGGAAGCTCCCGCCTGAGGGTGTGCACATGGGGGCTCAATGCCTGCTTCTAGACACCCATGCTGGCACAGAGCCCGTGACCCTGGCACTGTCCACTGTTCCTCCCTAGTAACGAAGACCAATGGGTGAGAGTGTCCATGGAGTACAAGTTCCAGAACTTTATCCCCACCCACCTTAGAGGCCTGGCCAATCACCTGGCTCACAGCATCATGGATCCCATCCTCCAGAAATCCAGCATTGTGGCCAATGGTGAGTCAGTGCAGCATCCCTGTTGTCTCTGGTCAGCAGTGTCCTACCTCTTTAGGCCTCCTCATTCCCTTTCTGCAGGTGGGCAGAACTTCCTTTCAACAGCAAAGTTCAAGTGCCAGGGCCAAGGGAGAAAGCAGACATGGAGCATTGGGTGGGGGAACTGGATAGAGGCGAGAAACTCGGGTCAGTGAGACAAGATGGGCAATTCCTTCATTGTCCAGGATCTCAATGGATCCTAAGTGACAGGATCTGGGGGTGTGGATGTAGCTCAATGAGAGCACTTGACGAGCATGCATGAGGACCTGGGTACCATCCCAGCACCATCAAAACTAACAAGATCTGTCCCAAGTCAGGAGACAACTGCTCAGCTCGGCCCATCTGCAAGAAAGCCTAGTGTCCCCTTGAGCCCCTCCCATAGGGACATTTAGGCAGGCTTGTGCCATATAAAGAGATGGCAATTCATCACTCACACTGAGAGAGCTCTGGGTCCACTCCACGCACTCCAGCCACACAGACTGGAACTGCTCTTGTGAGGTTCCTCAGCCCAGAAAGTGCTGGTGCCTCTTGTGGCCTCTTGGGGGACATCAGTGCTTCTCCTTCCAGTCTTGCCCTTGAGTCCCTCCAGAGCAGTTAACAGGTGCCAGCGGGCCCAGAGTGCAGACAGGTTGGCTTGGGACTCAGCTCTCCAGGGGCCAGAACCACTCCCCAGGGAGCCATCCCCCAGCATATGGGCAGCCTTCCTTTGCCAGTCTTCCCAACCTGCAGGACCCGTCATACCCCATTATCAGACAGCAGAGCACCCCTGCCCTTGTGGAGAAGGCTGTGCTGTTGGTCTATCAGCCCCTCCACTGCCCCACCTGGGAAGTGCAAAAACTCTTTGCACTTCTCCCCCTGAGCAGGGACAGGTGAAAGAAAACCAATCTCCTACTCTGCTTCTAGCGCCTCTCATTGGCCATTCCATGAGCTAGAGGGGTCACACTGTCCACCCCTGTGGTGAGGACACAGCCATAGACAACAGTGAGCTTGGTCATGCTCCTGTGAAACCTTATTTATGGATATAGAAATGTGTGTATGTCACATAATTTTTATGTCATGAAATGCTCTACTTTTCCCACCACTTAAGAATGCAAAAGCTGTCCTAGTGTGAGGGCACACACCTGTGATCCCAACAATTTGGGAGTCTGAGGCAGGAGGATTGGAATTTTGAGACCAGCCTCAACAACTTAGAAGGACCTAAGCAACTTGGTCAGATCCTGTCTCAAAATAAAAAAGGCGGGGGAGAGTAGCTCAATGGTTAAGCACTGTTGGGTTCAGTCCCCAGTACTGGGGGGGGGCACCCTTAGCTCATGGGCCACACAAAAGCAGGGAGCTTTGGCTCTTGAACTGAAGTTTGCAGTAGGATTTGGGCATGTGGCCTGAGGCAGAATGTGGGTCCTGTCCCAGGATGCCTAGGAGATGAGGCCCCTGATAAATGTCACCCACACTCCACCTTTTACTCTAGGGGAGAAGGCAGAGCTGGTGCTGTATGAGATGTGGCTGCAGATCCTAGGCCAACCCTTCACCAAGGCCTTGAAGGACAAAACCAGCCCTGAGGCCCAGAAGCTTCGGCAGCAGCTAACGAGATGGGTGAAGTGGTGGGATGGAAGGAAGCAGGAAGAGGGAGGCAGGGGTGGGCGCTGGACCAGGCTTCAGCAGAGCTGTGACCCTCTTCCTCCTCTCCTGACCCTCAGCTGACCAGGGGGCTCAGGTCTCTGCAGAACTTTGGCCAAGTGGTGGTGGAGGAGTTCCAGTGAGTGCCTGGGCTCTTGGGTGGGAGCAGGAGGCTGGAAGAGAGGCCCTCCCCGAGTCATCCCAGGTTTCTCAGTGGCCTGAAGACTGTGGATCCTTCTTCTAGGCCAGAACCACTGACTGCCAAAGTAGGTGCCATCTTCTTTGGGGCCACACCAGCCCAGACCCTCATTCAGGACAGCGTGCATCAGGCCCTGTACATCCTGCAGAAAGATGAGGGCCTCCGGGTAGAGATGGTCACCCTAGCCCTCGGTAAGTGCCTCCCTTCTTCCTGCAGGCCTCTTCCTTCTGCCCATGTCCTCCATCCATCTGCCTTCTCCCATGGGCTCTCTGACTTGCTGCCCCAGCCTTCCTTTTCTTCTTCTGGGTCTCAGCCCCCCAGGCTCAGGCCCAGCCCTTCCTGCTCCCAGGAGTCCCCCAAGGTGCTCCCTGCACCAGCCCTTCTGTTCCTGCAGCACCTTTTAGGCCAGGCACCTGACCTGAGATTCTCTGTGGGCTGGACCTCGCCTTCCCAGGGCAGGGAGGATGGGGACCCGCCCAGCCCCTGCTTTCCTGCTCTCTACGGCAGGCACCCGCAGCTCCGGAGCCTCCCGTCAGCCTGGCACCCCCAGCTCCGCACTCCTCATCCTGAACCTCCTGCTTGTCACACTCATCCTTTTCCTGGTGAGTGTCTGGCTGGGCAGGGGCTCCTTCTTGGAGGGCAGACTGAGCCTTTGGGCTCAGAGCTCACTTTCTAACTGAACCTAGGGTCCCCTCATGTGCCAGATAGAGCTGGGTTTTCAGCCAGGGGCCTGGGCTTGACCCCATGACCCCACCCTTCTTTACAGCCCCAGGTGTTGAAGTAGAAGGCCCCTTTCACAGTGTCCAGCCTGGGGGACCAAAGCATGTACTAATAGTAGCTACACTGCAAGGCACAGAGGCCCTCTCAGCCAGGCAGGGGGAGCCCAGCTCCCTGAAAGCCCTGAGGTGCTTACACTGGGGATGGGACTGTCCTGAAGCCTGGCTCCCATGAGCAGTCCCCAGGCGCCGTTGCTGCAGTGCCTAGGTGGGGAGGTCAATGCACCAGCCATGCCCCTGCCCTATCCAGGCAGAGGCCCAGGGGTGGTCCAGCAGACTCCTCCAAAAAACCACTTGCCTCCAGTTCATTCCTAGATGCCAGGAACAGAACTTAGGGCCTCAGGAGGCCAGGAGAATCAATAGAGAAATGGAGATGTGAGGAGAGGGTCTTGCTTCCCTCCACCCGAGGACCCCATCGGTGGCACCACAAGTCCCTGTAAAAGGCCCCAACTCAGCTTCCCTTGCCCTCCTGCCCGTCCTTCCCCTCTACGCAGGGCCAGGGCATGGAGGGCTTATTAGCACAAAATGACCGAGCTGGGTGCAGACTTCACAGATCAGCAAAGCCTTTCTTCAGCAATGGTGTCAGGCATCTGGTGGACGCACTTTCCTGATGAGAAATGAGCCACGGGCCAGAGGAGGACTCTGTGCTTATGTATGTTATGCTGAGAGGTAACTTCATTATTGACAGAGCGTGTCAGTTTGGGCACTCAGGAAACAGGTTGTGAGAATGTGACATTTGTTTTTACTGGGCAATATTTTTACTTGGAGAAGATGGAGGGTCTGGGGTCAGCATTCAGTGCTTATCTCTTTCCCTTCAGGGTCCCATTTTCCTGTCACTGGGAAAGGATTTATTTGGGGAAGGATCAATACTTTGGCTTCCTCCAGGGACTGCCATTCTAGGCTGGCTGGATGTCCTGTCACTGGGAGAGGATCAGTGTCATCAGCATGTTGCCTTCTCCCTCACTCCCTCTTCCCAGGCCACATGAGTCTGGGATTTGTCATTTTCCATATCTTCCAGGACTGCTGCCCTGTTCTGGGAGCCTCCAGTTCCTGACTCCAGGCTTTTCCCTCTCTTCTCACCAGGTGACTCCTCATGACATCCTCCCCTCACTGAAACCCAGACTCCAGGCCTCTCCCTGCTTCATCTTATCCAGACAATGCCTCAGCCCTGTGGAGAGCAGCCAGGGCTCCAGCATCTCCCAGAAACCCAGAGAGGAAAGCCCAGGGTCACACCACAAGAGGGCGTCTTCCCTCCTGGGACTCCCAAAGACTGGACTCTCAGGGCCTGGGCAGAGGTGGGGATGGGAAAGCAATCCCCTGTCACCATGCTGGGAGGCCAGCTGAGCTTTAACCCCAGGCACCTCCTTGCCTCATCCCATGATGCATAAAGTCTGGGAAACATTTGCTTTTGATTCTGTGCTCTTGTGGGGCCAGGCACCTCCCACCTCTCCAAGCAGCAGGTGTCCTGCTAACTACAGACTTGGAAGTCAAGGGCACAAGCCTCTCTGGAGCACACACAGCTAGACCAGGAAAGCACAAGGATGTAGGCTCAGTGATATGTCTATCTTCCAGGCTCGCAGCCACCTCTCACTCTACCAGGATAGGAACCGGGCTCATAGGAGGACTGGGAGCAGGTACTCACACAAACGGTGTAAACAGGGTTGTCTGGAAGAAGGGGCAAGGATCCAGTCCTGTGTGTACATGTCCCCAGTGTCCCTGGAGAGGGGGGCCATGTAGGCCAGGCCCTGAGGATTTCCCAGCACCTCAGGGAATGAAACATGGTGGGAACAGCAGCCCCGCTTGCCTCTCATAGCACTTTGCAGGTCACCTTCGTTCACAGGAGGTGGGTCAGCATCTCAGCCAGGTGAGTGCAACACACTTGTAATCTCAGCAGCTTGGGAGGGTGAAGCAGGAAGATAGTGAGTTCAAAGCCAGTCTCAGCAACCTAGGGTCTCACTGAGTTGCTTAGGACCTTTCTGTCTCTAAATAAAATACAAAATGGGGCTGGGGATGTGGCTCAGTGTTTAAGTGCCCCTGGGTCCAATCCCTGGTACTGAGAAAGAAAAAAAAAAAAGCAGGAAAGTGGACAGGGCTGGAGGTATTCATATCTGCAAGAAGCTCGACTCATGTTTTTTGGGTATAGAAAAGTTAGGAAACAGACTTCTGTTTGGTATAAAAAAATTGCCTTTAATCCTAAGGAGTCTAGAGGCTGAAGCAGGAGGATTGCAAGTTCAAAGCCAGCCTCAGCACTTAGTGAGGCCCTAAGCAATTCTGTGAGACCCTGTTTCTAAATGAAATGTAAAATAGGGCTGGGGTTGTGGCTCAGTGGTTAAGCACCCTGGGTTCAATCTCTGGTATCCCCCCCCAAAAAAAAGTTGGAGTTGGGGGGATGAGGATGTAGCTCAGTGGTAGAGAATTTGCCTAGAATATGTGAAGCCCTATGTTCAATCTCCAGGACTAAAAAAAAAAAAAAAAATGCTTTTAGTTTTAGACATGAGTTTGCAGCATCCTTATTGTGGGGAGGGAGGAGGGCTTGCAGGAAGAGGAAGTGGGGGCAGAAGACTGACTCTCAGAGCTAGGTAGCCTCAGGCTAGAGGGCTTGGGCAATGGGGGCTAATGTGAGGCCCACCTGCCACAAAGAATCAGAGGCACTGAGAGGTGGATCTGCCAGAGAGGACGAGGAGTCTCAGTGGCAAACCAGACTCTGAGCAGGCCGCCCAGGCTAGGGAAGTCTTGGGCCAGGACTGACCTCAGCAGCCTCTTGCTGGCCAGGGACTGAGGATGTGGAGGGGAAAGCAGGTTTGGTGGTCCCCTGGGGGAACATCAGGATAGGCAGAAGTTTTAACCTAGAACCTTCTAGAAACTCCTGGGCTCACCAAGACACAAAGAGGGATTTGGCTGTGGTGATACCAGGGATGGCCTTTGGATCCTGAAAGGGTAGGGGAGTCAGGTGTAGCCCCACCCAAAGGCTTCCATCCCTGCAGGAAAGTTAGCAGATCCTGTGAGGGGCCCAGACCATGGTCTTACCTGGCCAGAAATGGACTGTGCCAAGGTACCAAAGAAGGTGGGCAGAAAGATCACGTAGGAGTTGACAGCTCCTGGTGGCAATTTCCTCTGGAGTAGGCAAGCTTCTCAAAGCCCTAAAGGGTCCCACCCTACCACCCCAAAGACCAGCCTGAGACACACATATATGGCCTCTCCAGGCGCCACAACTCCTGACTCAAGGCCCAGGCTGTCATGATGCCTAGGACATCCCCATTCAGGCTCTTTGTCCTAGGAGGGAGGGTTATGTTCTCTATAGCCACCCCCGTCACCACAGAAACCCAGGCTGGTGTTGTGAGAGGGAACAGACTGGGGTGACAGTAGATGAGGTGACAGTGAAAGGGGCCCTGGGGCTGAGGCTGGCTGAACTCAGGAAGCCAGACCCTGCCCCTCGCCAGGCTGTGGGTTCCTGACCCTCTGCAAACCAGCCTGCCCAGCTTCACACCAGGCTTTGCATGAAGCTAGAGTTCAAACACACCGGTGACCACAGTGGCTGTAGGAGGTGGCGCACACCCAGGGTGAGAAGGGAGCCCATGGGGCTAGGACGGCCTCTCTGATGTGGTGCAGTGGTGCCTGTAAGACACAAGGAGAGGGGGTCCACTTGGAGAGGTGGCCAGTTGGACAGCCACTGCCAGAGTCTGCAGCATAGGGGTGGATCTGGCTCAGGGGAAGGGGATCCCAGCTCCCCCACACAGGCAAGTGAGTATCCTGGGAGCCAAATGGGGTGCTCAGGACCCCCATCCATTGCCCAGAATCAGCCTTACTTAGATCTGTCATAACAACTCTGGGGTGGAGCAGCCCCATTCTCCAGCTAAATAAAGAGACACACAGAAATGCATGTCTCAGTGCCGGCCCGGGCTTCAGCCCTGCTGTAATGTTGCCTCCAAGACTGCCTCGGTGCACGGAGAGCTTAGCAAGCCCCTGGGAGGTGCGTGCCTCCTCAGTGGTAGGAGGTCAAGTGTGACCCTGTCCCTTTGAGAAGCTTGCCTACTCCAGAGGAAATTGCCACCAGGAGCTGTCAACCCTAACGTGATCTTTCTGCCCACCTTCTGGGCCTCACATCCCACCTGACTCCACAGCTACAGCCATGGCAGGGGTGTCCTTGGATCTGAATCTGGAAGGCAGAACTCTCCCTCCCCCTCCCCCTCCAGCACCCAGGGGTCAGCCCCATGTTTGAAGAGGCCCAGGCCTTGGGGAGCCAGACATTCCCTAGGGGCAGGAAGCCTGGAATGCACCATGATGTTCCCCACACTAGACTCGTAGGAAGCCTCAAATCAACACCTACAGGTCAGGGAAGGGGCTCAGCCCCCTGCTGCACCTGGGAGACGGCAAGGCAGGCACAGGTGGGCACCCGTTTCCAATTGAGCCCAATGGAAGGGCAGGAAGCAGATCCCTTGCTTGAGCTTCCTCCTCTACTCCATATTCCCCAAGGTGGGGGGACGGCCACCCACCAGGCCATGGCCCATATGCAGGGGAACTGAGGGGAGCAATAGCGGCTGTCCCAACAGGTGCACATGACCCCTGACTTTCCCAAGACCTATGTCTATGACACAGGCCTGGTAGACAGATGTGATCCCCCTGGTGGCTCTATAAACCTCCTGCTGAGGACAGTAAAGAAATGGGCAAGATGGGCTTGTCCCACTGGGAGGTAGGCCTGGGAGGGGCCAGAGCAGAGAGAAGCTTTTTGAACCCAGGCCTGCCCACAAACTTGGCAGACTGGGAAGAAGAGGGCATTGTCACTAATCGGGCAGCGTGAGGGCACTCAGGTCCATGGACTGGTTGGCCAGGGAGGTCAGCACCTGGGGAATGTCCACCCATGCCTGGCTCTGCACCTGGGCTTCTTCCTGGAACCACACTGGCCTGAAGTCAGGATGGAGGGAAGGAGGGCATTTGTGGCCACATGAACATGGGGCAGGGTAGCATCATGCCCAAGAGACTTCAGGGGCCAAAAGTTGAAGCAGATATG